GCACGCGCCGCGCGCCTCGCGGCCACCGTACCGCCACCGCGCACGCGCGCGCTCCTCCCGCACACCGCGGGGGCGGGGGAAGGCGGGGAGGAGCTGCGCATGCGCGCTTGCGCGCGAAACGCTCGGGGAAGGGGCGTGGCGGCGCTGGGAAGCTAAGCAGGCTGTTGCCGGGACGGCGGCTGGATGGGTGACCTGGGTGGTCGCGCTTCGTGCTGAGGGTTGCGGCGCTGCCGGGGAGTTGCTAACGCGGCGCTGGCGTCCAGACTTGTCCCCGTGCTCTTGTTGTAGGGTCAAGACCTGTCCCTACGCGCTTAATTCCCCACGGAATTAAGCCCGTGCACCCCCCTGCGCTGAGCGCCTGGTCTCTCGGTGCCCGAGCATGAAACAGGGTGCCCGGCCTGCGGCCCCGCGGCTATTTCCTGCGTTTTTGCCCGGTTTTCGGTGCGTATTTTGCGCGGCGGTTCTGCCGCGTGCCGCGAGGGGGCAGCAGATGTGCGGCCCCCGCAGCGGGGACACATGTGCCAGGGATCGCATCCCTGTTTTCCATGCAAGGGACAGATTTTCCCCCTCTCTGGGGGACAGAGTTTTTTTTTTACCCCTATCCGGGGATTTTCTCCCTCTTCCCTTGCGCCACTTGGGACAAATGCCCAAGCGAGGGGCTGTGCAGGCTTGAGATGAAAACAAGTGCAGCCAATGGTCATGATTGCGCTTGGAAAGCCTGGAAGCTGGATGGAAACCAAGCGGCTATTCCTGGAAATAATTCCTCTCTGGGAAGAGAACCACACAGTGTTCCCGGAGGGAGAGCGGGGAACGCTGGGATTCCGATTCCCCCTTCCAGTTGAGCTTGTCCCAGCTGCTCTGGGAGTGACAGTCGCAAGCAGGGAATGATGGAGCCGCTGGGACCGACTGCCTGGGAATTCCAGCTGGCAGCGCTGCGATGGTCCCCAGCCCTGCTCCCACCCTGTCCCGTTGGGATGCCCAGCTGGAGCCTCCCTGGAAACCCTGGGCTTCTACACCCTCCACTATGCAGCTATCCTGCAATTCCCACATATTTGGGGTCCTTGCTTGTTTTGGGGAGCAAGCCGCTCTGCGCTGGCATCGTGGCCTGTTCCATGCAAGAGCCCCTGTTTTGGTGATATTATTAAATAAATAAATAAAATAAATAAATAAAAGCTGCCTATGAAGGCAGAATGATGTTTTTCCCTGCTCCTGAATTCCTGAATCGTGGAAACTCCCCAATCTCATTAGCAGTTATTCAGATCCTTGCAAGAAGGAGGGAGGCAGCCTGCGATGGGGAGGGAAGAAGAGCAAACCAGTTCCCACAGGAACAGGTCCAGCGGGAGCTGTGATGGCACTTCAGACCCTCGCAGGTCCCGGCCGCCCGCGATTCTCTGGACGCGGGATCTGGAGGCAGCGCTCGGTCTGGAGTTATTCCGCAGCATGATCCGGGAGGCTTTCGTTGCCATAACAACTGAATTCAGGCTTCAAAAATAGTAACTTATTTTTCATTCAATTTGCCTTTTGCCCTCTGAGGCAGGTCTATTTTGGGACACATGGTTCACTCCAGGTGTCCCTCTCCCGATGAACTCTGTGCTCCTGGCCCCGTCCTGGGCATGGGACAGAGGATTTGGGGACAAGAGTTATTTCATTAAATATGCCTCGTCACCATTTTCTCTCCTTCTTCCACCAAGGAAGGTACAGGAGGGAAGAGGCATCTTTAATGGCCTTTGCCAAAGCCTCATCATGCAGGCTGGGGAGGGAGGGCAATGAATGTTCACAGCTCCGTGGAGGAGCGTAGGAGTGGAGCTTGCTGCACATCTTGGTCTGGACCTACCGCTCTCAGCCCGGGCTTGGCTGTCCCAGATAAGCTGGGAAGATGCTACCAAAGTGGGAGATGTTCTGCTGCTCCTTTTGCTTCCTGGGGTCCCGCTGGCCTGTGGCTAAAGGGTTTCTTCCAGCATCCCACCTGGGTGGGGTCCCCACGTGCTGAGAGAGGCTGCGGGATGGAGTCCGAAGTGGCCTGAACCCCTAGAAAACGGGACCATGGTAGAGGAGGTGCTGCGATTCCCCTGCTGCTCTTGGTCCCTCTCACCACCCTGCCCTGGGTTTCATGCTCATCTTTTGCTGGTCAAAATTTCACCCAACGTTTTCTGTGAGAGGAAGCCGCCTGCTTGCTAATGGACTCCAAAATTATTGTGTCCTGCAGCACCTCCCTTAAACCCGTGAGATCCCAGGGAAGGAGCCGGGCATCCTTCTGACCCTGCACCCCAATGGTGTGGAGCTGTTCAGCACAAATCCATCCTGGATAACCTCGTGCCTCCTCACCCACGTGCCGGGGAATTGCAGTGAGCACTGCGGGGCATCAGGGGTTTGGAGGGAGACCTTGGCACCCAGCTGTGAGCATCTAGTCGAAGGCAGGTTTTAGGGTTCCTCCATACACACAAGGCAGATTAAAAGCATCATTTGAGGTTGAGAAGCAGGGTTTCACCCCGATAGTTTCCCTTGCCAGTATCCGGCTCCTTTCGAGGTTCCCCCTGGAGCTGCCTGATGTCGGATTCAACTTGGGATCCCACATCCCATCATTGCAGGGAAGAGGACAGGGATACAGGGAGCATCTCCTGCTTTGCTCCTGCGTTGTGGCTCCCTGTGGCCACATTGCCCCTCTGCTTCCCCATCCTGGTGCTGGTTTGGCCATGGAAAGTCTCCCTGGGGCTGGATGGGATAAAAGCTGAGAGGGAGGAAAAGCTTTGGATGGAGACGGAGAGAGCAGCGCCGGACTCCGTCCCTCGGCTAACTCCGTCCTCTTGCTCCCGAGCACGCAGACAGACGGACCTTGCTGGAGCTGTACCCTTAGTCTACTGAATAGATAAATAAATAATAAAAGACAAGAAATAGCAGCAAAGCCAGGCGCAGTGCTCCCCGGGGGACGCTGAGCAGTCGGTGCTGGCCGGGGGCCGGTCACACACCCGTAGGGACCCCCGCATGTGGGGAGCACGGCCAGAGCCCTGGCGAGCCCCGGGACGGTCTGGGGGCCCCGGACAGCTCAGCCTCCCACCCCCCCGCCCGCTTTAATTACGTTTTCAATCCCAATCTGCTGCTATTTGATCCAGCGGGGAGGGAGGGAAGAGGGGGGGTATTTTTAGCCGCGCTTAAAGCCGCCTCGCTGGATAAGGGAGATTGTGCAGGTGGCGGCGGCCGGGCGGAGTTGGACGGGATTTCCCCCCACCCCCCTTCCTCACTGGGCCTCCTCCTCCTCCTCCTCCTCCTCGTCCCGGAGCGTTCGCCGGCGGAGCGGGCGGCCGCGCTCCCCCCTCCCGCCGCTTTTGTTTCCGCTTATTCTCTTGTGCAACAGGGGGGCGGGCGGGGGGGCCGGCGCTGCCCTGCCCTCCCCCGGCGGGCTCCGCTCCGCTCCGCGGCGCGGGCTGCTCCGCGTGGCCCCGCGCGCGGGGGCGAAACCGGAGCCCGCGAAGTCGCCGCGGCGGCTCCCGACTCCCGGCGGAGCCGCGGCGCCGGCCGGCTTCGCTCTTCATCGCCGCTCCTCCTCCTCGTCCTGCCCGCGGCGAGCCCTGGGCCGGCGCGGGGCTCTCATGGCAGCGTCGAGATGTTCGTGTCCAGAGTGGTGGATTTCCAGCAGACCCGCTACGCCAGGTAAAGCCCCTCGCGCGTCCTGTCCCTCTGGGTTGCTCCGAATTCAGCGCCCCGGGATGGTCCCCAGCCCGCCCTACCTCGGGCACTGAGGCCAAGGAGCCCTCACGAAGCTGCTGAGATGCTCAGAGCCCAGGGCAGGTGCAGGCTGCTCCCTTCGCCCTCGTGTGCTTGTACAGTCTGTCTTGTGGGATAAAGCAACCTGCCTTTCTGCATCCGTAAGGGATTCAGCCCGGCTGCATCCCTGGGAGCTCTCACTCCTTGTAGAGAGCACAAGGCAAGAGTTACCAGGGAATGAGGGTGCTGTTATTTGGGTGCTGTTTGTGTATACTGACCGCCAAAGCCTCCATTCAAATGAAGGTATTTGACAGGAGTAGTTCTAGGAAGTGGGTGTTGGGTTTAAGGACAGGTCCTGGACTTGTCCTCCAGTCCATGCTGGGGGGAACTTCAACAGGGGCCCAGGTCCTGACAGGGGTCAGCAAATGGAAACCCTCTCCCTAGGGGAGAAACATTTCCCTGTCAGTCCCAGCACTGAACCTGAAGTTCACCTGCAGGGAGATGTGAGACTTTTCAACCCATGTGCTCTGCACAGAGACAGGACCCTGGTGGCCCTCAGGACCATCCATAGGCAGAGGCTTGCAGAGGACAGACCCAGCTGCCAACATCTGCAGAGCCACCAGTCCATGAGCACCATGTGGTGCTTCCCAAGTAGACTGGGACAGTTTCCACCTCAGGAGCGGGACACATCCTAGTGGCTCAGGCTGCACTATCTGCTTACAAGGAAACCTGAGCAAGGCTCAGGCCAGGTCAAGGAGCCCATTCGGCCTCTCAGGGCTCAGGTGCCCGTGGTGTTGGTGAGCTGGTGGGTAACCCAGGGCCAGAAGCCGCCCTGCATACCTTGGTGATGGGTGAATCTGAAAGCAGAGCCCTTGGAACAGGATATAGCTGAGGGATGCTGCAGGGGATGGACGTGGGCGATGACTGATTAAGAGAGAGCTTCTAGCAGAGCTTTGCACCCAGGCTGGGTTTTGCTGACAGATCTAGGGATTGTGGCAATGAGCGAGCCTGGCGCTTTGCAGGATCCCTGCAGCGTTTGCCCAGATGGGTTCAGCCTCCCTCATGTCCCCGTCGGTGACAGCGGTGGGGAGGTTTTTGTCCCTGTAGGGAGACTCAGCTGGCTGCTGCTCTGCCAGGTGGAACTTGGATCTCCCCTTTGGTTGCTGTCAGACTCAAAGCAGTCCCTGTATCTGGGGTTAGAAGCAAAGACACAGGTCTGGAGAGGACCGGCAATGGTAGCAGTGCTTCTTCTCTTGCCCTGCGCAGGAGCATCCTTGGGACGTATTTACCTAGTCTAGCTTAAGAGCAACATTGCTGGTGACCTCTTTCTTGTGCTCCTCAACACATCTGCTCCCTTGCTTCCAGGTATCCCACATGGAAAATCCTTGCTTGCACCTGAGGCTACCTGAAAGCAGGGTGCTCCTGCACAAGAACCAGTGTGATGCTGTAACACTCTCCAGATTACCTGTACCTGTCAGAGACACAAGTTAATGAGCATCACGTACAACTGCTGTGTAACACAGGATTGTGGAAACACAGAAAACTCCAAACATTTTTCGCCAGCTGTTGTGCACAGGACAGGGCTGGAGAGAGATGAGAGCAGAATGAAGCTTTGGTGCCCCAAAGCAGGAGGAAAACTGTACGTTCCCTTTTCAGCAGCAGCATGAAGGCGATTTGGGAGGTGGGCGGCGGAGCAGAAGTTGCCTCCCGTGTCAATGCTCCCCTAGCAAAGCCCCTCCACGAGCCACATCTTACAATTTCTCCCCAAACCAGCAGAGCTTTGCCTTGTAGGGCATGCCAAGGCACAGGACCACAGCGCGCTTTCCACCTTTCCCCAGATGAGATCAGTTGATGTGATGAGAATCAGACCACTGAGTGCATCCTTGGATGACTTCAAGAAGCTTTTGGAAGGTTGCAGATAAAACAGGAGAAAGAAATTTGCTTTTTTTTCCTAAAATGGGAATTTATGCTCTTTTTTTTCTCCCCTTTACAGCATCTTCCCTGCTGTGGGATGGGGAAAAGGAGACCGAGGAGAATAGCTGGGTGAAGTGAGAAGTGAAGGATAGACAAACAGCCACAGGGACACCTGGCATGGAGGGGGCAGAGGTGCCACCACGAGGTCCCTGACCAGCCGATGCCCCGTCAGCACGTGACACTAACCCAAGCTTCTCCATTGCCTGAGAGATCCTCTTAGCTTATTGCTCAAAAATAGCCCTCAGCTAATCCTCCTTCTCCCCAGGGCTTTCCTCTCTGCAGAGAGCTCCCGTGCCCGAGATGAGCAGGGGGACATCGTGCCCACCCTCGCCCAGGCACATGTTGCCATAGGCTCTTCAGGCAGCTACAGAAATAGCCGGGCTTTGCAGGACATCTTTGTCCTTGCCACATCTTTCTGGAGGAGGAGGATGCTTGTAGACCTCCTCAGTTGTGTAAAATAAGAGAAAATAGCGGATAGTTTTTTTTCTTGCAGTAGGGGGAAAAACCTCCATTTTTAATGTCATTCTCTCTGACTTCAAGTAAGGGCCGAGAAAGGAGGAGTTTGGCCATCAATAGGAACACCAAAAGGAATAAACAAAATGCAGCAGCATGATGAAAGACCTGTTGGGCAAAAGCTGCAACGAAGGCGCCAAGCTTTGAACGAAGAGATAAAAGGCAGTTATCAACGCGGAAGGGTTTTGTGGGCTGCCAGGAGAAAACTCAGGGTTGAAGGGGCACAAGGATGTCCCCAGATGCCTCCCAGCTTGGCTTTGTGGTTTGGAGATGGGGCATCACAGCTGGGGTGGACAGGAAGGAACTGGAGGGGACATGTCACCATGGCAAGTGGGAAATATTGATGCACTGTGATGCATTGGAAGGGTTCAGGATGGTGGGAGCAAGCAGTGGTGGACCTGATGTCCCCTTCTTTGGGACCTCTGCTCCTCTTCCAGCTGCTACTCGGTAGGCAAAGGGAATTAAAGAGCTCCTTCTGTTTCATCTGGCCACCTCCATTAGTTCCTCCTCATTAGCCCTTTGCCCCTGCCCTCACCGCCTGCCTTTCTCCCTGTCAAAGCGGTGCTCGTTTCCACACTCCCACATTAACAGAGCGGTGCCAATTGCACATCTCCGTCACGGGAGCTCGCCAGCTAAGTTACACCAGGCTGGAAACCAATATCCCTTTCCACGTCACTGCTGCCTCCAGCACCGCTTCGGCTCCCTTGTTACTCTGGATTCAGGAGGTCTCCAGTGCCTCCTTCCCACATCCCTGGCTTCCAGCTGCTGCTCATCCCAAATCCCGCTGTTGGCGCATGAAGGGTTTCCTGGACTTTAGTCATCAAAGCTGTAATTGAGGGAAAACACGATTAGACAGGGAGCTGGTGTCTCTGGCCAGCCTCACCAGCGCCGGCAGTGGAGAGGGGTCTGCCAGGAGCCGTGGGCTGTGCAGGGCACTGAATCATCACAATTAACTGATACACATTCAAGATACCATTTATACGAGTAAAGGGCTCTAAATCTCACTGCATTTGCCTGTCTTGCCCTGTGCAGAATAGCAAGGAAAAGATGAGCAGCAGGGGAAGCTGTCACAAATTTCTTAGTCAGGATGGGGGTTGGAGAGCCAAGACCTTCATAGGTGCATGGAGCCAGTTGTGGTCCTCCTGCCTTGAGGAATTGGCTTGTCCTTGCTAGCCCAATGCCTGCACCACCTCCTCACCAACGTGAGCTGATGGAGATCCAAACATCATGTTTCCTCCAAGGCAGATCTTCTGATTCTGGGGAAGGACAGTGGGAAGACCTCCCAGCACACCTAGTTATGGAGCAAGCAGAGGCTCTGTCCCCTCCTGCTCAGAGATGCTGAGGGAGGAAAGCAGAACCAGCCTGTCCAAGAGCCCGCAGGGACAGCAGGAACAGATGGGAGAGAAAGCACTGGAATACCCAAATCCCAAACAAGAAAAACAATGCAGCAGCAGGCTGACAGCCCCATCCAAGCTCCTACTCTCTAGTTACCGGATCGGGAAGATTCGCTCCCTGGTTGCTCTGCAAAGAAAGCATGATCAGCCCTCGCCAGCTCCCACATGCTCCGAGATGCTTTCCAAGAGCTCTCCTTCCCCCACAGCCTGAGTAGGATGAAACAGCAAGAAGGGAAATGCTCTAAGAACCGAGATTGTGGCTCAGAATCACTGGAAAGGCAGTTCTTTGTGGACCCTCTTCAGGGGGGTCCAGCTGCCACATCCCTCTTTGGCAATGAGGACCCTTCATGTCCCTGCAGGCAGCAGAGCCCAGTGCTGCCCTGGCCCAGCCTCGGGGAAAGCTCTAACAGATAAGAGGCCACACAAGGCCCCTAAAAACTTATAATAAAAGTCTAAGAGATGATTTATCTCACTGACTGATTGGATATTGCCTAATCTGTGGTGCCAATTTGTCTCAAATGTCCTTTCAACGCAACATGGGTAGGTCTCATCTCAGGCAGTTTAGATGCCCAGCGTGCAGCCGTCCTCCCAGCCAGTCATTTGGCAAAAAACAAGCACTCAGAACAGGACTTGAGCAGCCTGCTAGAGAGGAGATGTTCCTTAAGCTGCCCATATACCCTCGTTGGGAGACCCAGAGGGGACCAGATATGGGAATTCAAATGGAGGCCACCCATGGAAGTGCACAGCAGTGGCTACAGCAAGCCCTGAGCCTCGTGCTGAGGGCTGCCTCCTCCTTGGCAGGGAAACATATGCACAATGGTCTTTTCCCTCTCACCACTGGTGTTGGATATCAGCCTGATGTGATTTTCTGGCACGGCTCGCCATGGTGCTCTGTGAGGCAGCAGATAGCGCAATTCCTGGGAAACGCAAACCAGTGGGCAGCGCATGCAAGAAGCAGGGCACTGCCCGAGCCCATCTGCAAGGGCCTGGCACAACCGCAGCTCGGGGTCGCCTGTCCCCCTGTCAATGCTTTCCACACCCTCAGCCGGGTGACAAAGTCAGCAA